CAAATTTTTCTTTCAAAAGTTCATCAAATCACTCACTTGATCATGGAACATAAACACCGAGTCAACCTGCATCCTGGAGTTTCATCTCTCTCCGTTATTATCTGGCAACGATACTGGATATTCGGCGCACGAAATCTGATACGCAAAATCACACACAATGGTTTGGCGTGCTTTCGGCAGAGGCAACACACAATGCATCAACGTATGGCAGATCTACCGAGCGTACGTATCAAGGAAGCACTTCCATTTCTTAACACTATGCGACTATGCAGGACCCATCCTTCTGAAGGACGCTAAGGTGCGGAAGTCGTGCATCAGCAAGGTCTACATATGCCTATTCGAATGTATGGTTACATCGGCGTATCCCTAGAACTCGCCACCGACTTATCTGCAGAAACATTTCTAGCATTTTTGAGACATTTTTTTTGCGACTTTGAGATTTTTTTCGATACGAGGCAAATGTACACACATGTACAGCGACACATGACCAAAATTCATCGGAGAGAAGTAATCCCTCGATGAATTTCAGCAGCTATTGAGCTTAACACAACCCAAGGATCACGTTGCGAAAACTTTGGCAGATGACGGTATCCAATGGACTTTCATCCCACCCTGCGCTCCACATTGGGGAGGAAAGTAGGAATAAGCAGTTCGATGCATCAAACTGCATCTTCGCCTTACGGAAACAGCGAATCTTACTTGCCACGCATGGAAACTTCTGATCGATACCAAAATTGGTTTCGATTGAAACCTCCAGCATGGGGTGATATGGATCCTCTGGGGTTAAAAGGGGCAAAGCTCTGGAGAGAGTGGTACCATCAGGATCAAATACAAAACATAAGTCTAAATGCCGACCTAACGAGTTATTAAAATGGTTAATTTGATTTAGCGACATGTCAAACATGCCCGCGGTAAAGTCATAGAGTGATAAGTGATAAGTGATAAGGACGATGAGTTTTCGACATTAGACCACTTTAATTCTGGGATATTAAAGTCACACACAGCTACAAGCTGGTCACGATCGGTCATAAGATTAAAAACGGAGTGAAAAGCGGACAAATTATGCCATTATAAGAGCGGTTCGAACTCAGGCGGTATTTATGAACATGTAATGTATAAAGATTTTGCGGACAACATTTTTTTAATGAAAATAAATTCTATGTCACCAAAGTCTTGTGATTTCACCTCTTCAGACCACCCCCCCTTCGCAGAGCTCAAGCCCGTCTTAAAGTGCTGTACTTACTTGGAAAAACTTCGGAGCTAGAGATCTCCAAGTTTCGGTAAAGGCTATAATATGGGACGTTCATTTAAATCGCAATACGAAATTAAAAAAGAATAATAAAGAAAGTTATCGATATTTGAGCAACAATCACCATGTCTGGGAGTTGCCCATAAGTTTCAAGCTTGGTTCAGCTGATCGAGCGCTGTGGTGAAAAGTTCTTAAGAATAGAGAGTCGGTCTTTTCCAAATTCAACCGTTGCCGACGTCAGACGTTTGAATTCCCCGTGCGAATTTTTTTTTAGTACTGACCGCGTGTGCCAAAGCCTAAATTCATCGGGTAAAATTGTCGAAGAAAACGCATTGAGATAAAGTTCCCGAGGCATTGAGCACGAGCCCCGTGGTCGCGGTAATAAAACACCCAAAAATTGCCAGCTGAGCACCCCCAGAGACACCGGGGGTAAGTTGGAACACCAGATTCTCGCCTTACGATAAACTCCCGAGAGTCGCAAACGGAAGATCCGAGGCCCCACAGGATCACCAAACCGAAACCCCGAAGAGCACCTCTCGGAGGAAAAATAGGGATACTGTAGGAGCCACCGGGACCAAGAAACTAGGTGGTCGAGTTTCATCTCCCCGCCTATCTACACTCACCCCCTAACGGAGCCCCACAAGTGAGGAGCGAATGGGCGAGTACACAGACACATCAATCAGATACATTTGAAAGAGGAGCCGAAAAAAGAAATGCGAAAACCCTTAGAAAGTACAGAATGCATATCTCCAAAAGTACTCAGCAAAAGAACACGTGCTTAAGGAAGTTTGAGACGAATTTGGAAGGAGAAACCAAAAGAGAACAATAATAGAAGGATGACCCATCAACAACGCTAAAGAACGGAGTACAAGAAAACCAAAAAAAGGGAATAAACGGAAAGGAAAAAGTAAAGAAAGTTTAATGAAAAGGAACAATCTAAAATTTTTGTTAAGAAGGCAAACGATAATTTTAATTAAAAGAAAATAACTAATAAAATAAGTTTATAAGCGAAGTTTATTTAGTTAAAAGGCGATGGTGAATCAAATTTGCGTGCGAATAAATAAAATTTAGTTTTGAAAGAAGAAAATGTGGAGATGAGAAAAGTATTTGGGTTATTGAAATCTACACTGAAGAAAATGTATGCATAAAGGATGTCAAGCCATTTGGAAAACTCTTAAGTTCGGATTAATATATATTTTTTTTAGTTTTATTTTCTTTGTCATTTATTATTTTTTTTCTAGTAAGGAAAGGAAATCTAACTTCGGAAGGAGCCGAAGTTGATATACCCTTGCAGTTAAAACCGGAAAATTATAATCTGTACTAAGTTCCAGTTTTTTATCTTTAAAAAACACAATAGTTGGGTCATCCGATCGTCCAGTTATATGGCAGCCATAGGATATAGTCGGCCTTATGAAATTTGGCATGTCTTATTTTTTTGCTAAAAGTAGCACTCATACAAAATTTGATTTCTATAATTTTCAAAACAGCAGAGTTATACCATTTCCGATCAATCAGTTATATGGCAGCTATAGAATATATATCGGCCGATCCAGGCCGTTCCGACTTATATACTGCGTGCAAAGGAAAGAAGGGTGTGTGCAAAGTTTCAAGTCGATAGCTTTAAAACTGAGAGACAAGTTCGCGTAGAAACAGACAGACAGACGGACAGACGGACAGACGGACATGCTCATATCAACTCAGGAGGTGATCCTGATCAAGAGTATATATATTTTATAGGGTCGGAGATGTCTCCTTCACTGCGTTGCACACTTTTGACCAAAATTATAATACCCTCTGCAAGGGTATAAAAATATGACTTAACTAAATAACCTAGTATTTCTAAGACAATATTAAGACCATTCTAATATAAAAATTAACAATTATCCGAGTCCAACAGCCTGTTTTCTCCAAGAGGTCAACCTTTACGCAGAGGAGAAAGTTAAGTAAGTAATTAAAGTTTCCCATACACAGAAATTTATTGAAAAAAAAAATAATGCAGAGAATTTTACTGTAAAAATGAAATATTTTTCTATAAATTGAAAAAATAGAATACACTGAAAAAAATGAAAACAATGATAATTGATGTAAATTTAATACACTGAGAAAAATAATTAATGTATATTTTTTTTCCTTTTGACTCAAAAAAGTTAAAAGTTTTGAGTTAAATTGCCTTGAATAAAAGTTTTGATATGATTGCACTGAAACAGAAATTCAATTGAAACCCAAGGGAGGAACCTCTTTATTAACTAATTTGACTTGATTACACTGAAAATTAATTTTTTTAAATGTATCTCTAAGTCTTAACTTTTATTTTGAAAAAATTAAAAGGTTATCGAAGAAATAGATAAATCATTTACACTGGGAAAAATTACAATTATGTTTCGATGGAGGAATCACCTGTAAGGGTTTTGGTGTCACAGGTACGAGAACTACAGCATCAGTCGGTGCCGGTGGTCCGGACTGTGGAATACCCTTTTGGGTGACTCTGACGGGGGTTTCGTTTACTAGAACCTGTGGTATCACTTGGAGGAAACCACGGAGGACATATTAGACAATTCCTCATTTTCCTTGAAAAATTCGGGCGGCGAATTGTTCTCAGTTCTAGCTCTTTGGGTGGCTAAAGATATGAGCATTAATGTCGGCTGAGCAGGCTGAGGCGGATCACAAACAGCGGATTTTTTACACTTAGGGGACTCAGTTAGAAGCTGAAGGCCGTTAAACTGAGTGTCAAGCGCACAAAGCTGGTCAGTGATCAACTTTTTCAATCCATTCTTAGTGTGTCTCTTGAACGGCCTCATTTCGTCTTGAACAGCACGACAATTTTCACAACAATAATGTAAACCAGAGCTACGGGAAATGGCATCCGAAACTGAGGCAGTGAACCCGGCACACTTGGCGTGTACGACGTTTTCATATAGCCAGCCATGAATGGTAGTTTGGGATGATTAGATTGTCTTGTTACAGGACTTCATAGAACAGACCAGTTTAAATTCCATATTATTAATTAACAATACGAAAATATTATATAAAAAGTTAAAAAACATTATACCTTGAACCACTGTGCCAAATAGGAAGCTGAAGCGGGAGCTTTGGAGAGAGCAAAGGAAAAATGCAGAAATAGAGATAAGACGGCGAAGAAGCAGAGCTGAGCTATGCTTGGAATTGAATTCAAGCAAATTATTAATTCGCCTCCAAATATACCGCAGCACACGCAACGATACGGTTGAAGTTAAAACTTAAGATTCTCAATAAATTTGATTTTCAAACAAGTAAACACCGTTTTACCAATATTTATCAATATTATATTTATCATTTTGTGCGCACAAAAAAAAACACGAGACCTATGAAAGGACGGAGACTTGCAACGATTGAACAGATAAAGACCGCTGAAAGAGCTCAAGGCTATACCGAAGGTGATAATGAGAAGTTCTTTGAGGATTGGAAAACCCGTTGGCATAAGTGTATTGTATCTGAGGAGGATTACTTTGAAGGGGAAAGCATAAATATTGATAAATAAAGTAATAGTTTTTCTTGAAAATACAAAGTCACCTTACTTTTTGAACACACCTCGTATATATGTGCCCGAGCCTCTGTCGGTGCAGCTTATTTTTGATATTCGAATTTATTTTATATTTAAATCAGATGAAAATTAACCAAGAAAAAACAAATACGCTTTTCAGTTGTTGCTAATAATAATGGCAGAGACATTATTCCTCTCCTAAGTATAAAAAGTTTTTTTTTTTAATTTTAGGCACTATACCGATAGGTACTGAACATAAAATACCAAACGTTCATCGAAAAATTGAGGATGGAGGAAACTTTTCCTTTCATGGTTTTAACAACATTCCTGAGAAGCCACTTAACTATGGCTATAACGCGGAGGCGCCTATTCGATCGGAATCCTTACTAAAAGTCACATCCCAAGTAAAATCTTTAATGTTAACTAAGCCTGTTTACATATCGCGACCTATACAGCTTGTCGCGAAATTTCACGATGACAATATTCCTTCAAAAGCCATTAAAAATTTAATTGGACAGGGTAAGTCAGCATCAAAATCCAATCAGACACCCACAGTAACAATGGCAGCCAGTACGTCACCACAAAATACGGCGCTAGAATTAATAAATTTACATGGTGTTATACTAACGACAGAATTACCAAAAACTAAAGCATATACTACTAAAAAATTCTTCGATTATTCACATTTAAAAGATCATTTTAAAATGGGTAAGATGGGACAAATAATAGGAAAATTTTACTAATGAAGTAATTTCTATTTTTCTCTATGCTAGGTCCCACAGAAATAGAGCCATCTCGAATATTTCGTACTACCCATCACCATGAACACCATTGGGGACCATTTTTTGAAGAGCACACCAGCTCAAAACCTTTAAGTGAGGGTCATGTTTCAGCAGTGCACTTGTTTACGGAAGCTGCACTGAACTGTCGAGTTGGTATGCTAAAAGACAAAACGGTAAGACTAAAAAAAATTATTATTATTCATTACCAAAAAACAACAGTATCGATTCACGTATGCTGTGGTATATTTCGAGAAAAATTAAATATTTTAAATATTAAATATTTTAACAATACCTATTCTTTTCTTGATTCTGCATTTTCTTTGCCTACTCCACTCTCTCTCTTCAAAGATCACTCTTCATTCACATTTGGAACCGTGTTTCAAGGTTCATTTATTTTTGACATTTTTTTTTTTCTTTTTGTTAACAAAAAATTTAAATTCGTCTGCTGAATTATGTCTTTTAATAAGACAATTTCTTCATACGAGCCTACCATCCACTGCTGGCTATGTGAAAACATTGCACACGCCAAGTGTTCCGGGTTCACTGCCATAGTTTCGGATTCCATTTCCCGTAGGTCTGGTCTTCATTATTGTTTTGAAACAATACAACAATTGTTGTTGTCGTGCTTTCCCGGAGTAAAGAGATAGTTCATGAGACAGACTAAGATCCTACAGGGTGACAATAAATAACACGGAAAAACATTTTTGATCATAACTTTTTAAGGACTGTATTTGAGAAAAAATGCAGATATACATTTTTTAAATAGGTATTGTGTTAACATATATTCAGCCGGTTTCGAAGTGGCTTCCTTGGGCTGCGATGCAGAGCCCTAAACGTTTCTGGAAATTTAGCGCAATGGGCCGCAGGTCTTCTTCCGATAATTGATCTTATTCTCGGAGCAATGATTGCTTCAGCGCCTCCAAACTTTTGTGGCGTTTAGCACATGCCCTGGACTCCAAAATAGACCACACACTGAAGTGCATCGGATTAAGATCTGGCGAGTACGGTGGCCACTCACTGGATGTGATAAAGTCCGGAAAATTGGCTTTGCACCAGTCCTGAGTCAATTAGGCTCTATGGGCTAGCGCTGAATCCTGTTGAAACGTCCACTCCGTATCACCCTGGGCCCAAGGAAGCACAACAGTTTCCAAAATTACTCTGAGTTTAGCGGTTCTCAGCTGCTAAATGAGTCACCAAAGCATAAGAAATCCGCTGTTAGTGAGCCGCTTCAGCTGTCTCAACCGACAATTACGGAACTGGTCATATCTTTAGCCAACCCAAGGGCTGCGACTGAGAATAATTCGCCTTCCGAGTTTCTTAGTTCAAATGAGCAATTGTCCTATATGTCCTCCTTGGCATCACTTCAAGTTATACTACGGTTCGGCAATTGAACGAAACCCTCGTTACAGTCACCAAACAGACCGTTACAGTCAACCGTAAGGACCACCGGTACTCGGCTTGCCCCTGATACAAAGATTACAGATTACACTGTGCGAAAAAAAAAGAAAATTTGGAGGAACTACTAGGAGCGCTAGTAAAATTGCACTGACTTGTTTTGGGAAAAGCGTTATAACTTCAACAATTTTCATAATTTCCTAAAGAAATTGGTCTCGTTTTATTCAAAATTAACGAGACAATATTGATATGTGTTAAAAAATATACCATTTCTTGGAAGTTGTACCGAAAAAAAATGGCGTCAAAGTCCGAAAAACACTGTCCTTCTTTAAGGGGTTATATACAGTTGTCATAGATGAAAAAATCTTTTTTTTTTTATTGCATATTCTTTATATACTGTTTAGAATACTCTCACAAAAATTCATAACGATGGGAACATTAGAACCGAAGTTGTAGCTATTTATAGCGCACTACCTGCACATCAAACTTGAAACTTTAAACGCGATTATCTCAGAATCTGGTTTTTTGAAATTACCTTTGCTGTGGACTACTACTAAAAAACTATTAATCCGATCAAAACCAAATTTTGACCACTTATTTATTATGATATTAGCTAGTCCGCGAACGAAAGATTCAAGGATTTTTTTAAGCTCCTTTTTTAGAGCATAAAAATCGAAAATCTTATACATTGAAAAAGTACATTTTTTGTTAAATCCGTCTGCATTTTTTTAATCAAAATTTTTACAAATCTTTCGTTCAAGGACTACGCATATTGTAGTATATATATTGTATTATACTAACTAAATTTTTTTGAATTTTTGAATTTGGATGAACCGTTCTCGGGATGTGATGTCCACCGCAAGACACCATCGAAAAAAGACGTTCTTGGAATTCGGCTATAACATTTAGAGAGTTAGGGAGTTCAAATTTGACTATTTTTGGCAAAACATTACGTCATGCCAAATTTCATAAGGATCGGCCGACTATATCCTATAGCTGCCATATAACTGAACGATCGGAAATGACCCAACTTTCGTGTTTTTGAAGATAGAAAGCTGGAATTTGATACAGATTATATTTTTGATCAACCTACCAGTCAGTTGATCCAACCTACCAAATTTCATTAGGATCGGCCGACTATATCCCATAGCTGCCATATAACTGAACGATCGGAAATGGTATTTGGTAGAAATATCAACTTTCGTATTTTTGAAGATAGAAGTTTGGGACTTTTTTTAGATTTTGTATTGTATTAAATTGGATTATATATTCTTATTCCCATAAGGATCGGCCAACTATATCCGATGTTTGCGATATGTATCCGGTTTTAACTGCAAGGGTATATAAACTTCGGCTCCGTCCGAAGTTAGCTTTCCTTTCTTGTTATTATATAACATTTTTTTATGAAAAAATTTAAATAAGTACCCAGAAACACGTACTAAACAACGTCAGTAAAACATTTTTAATAAATATTTTCTATAGTGTAAAAAAAAAATTGATAAAATTTAATTATTTTGCGCGGTACAACTGTATATAACCCCTTTAAACGCAATGGTGTGGCAGGAATCAGGAGGGACCGGAGACATTTTCTTTCGAGAGAGAAAAATCGTTGAACGGCTGGGAGTATGATTCTTCCAGCAATTAAGAGATGCATTTCAATGAAAGTCTTAAAGCCTAAGCGCCTAAATCCAGCCGAGCTCTACGCCTTCCGACCTCAGCGTCTGGCGCGTACGGGTCATATATGCGGTTTATAGCCTCCTGCGTAGCTGCTTCAGAAATTCGAACATTAACTCCCAAGTAAGAATGGCGACTGAACTTAAGAAATTTTGACTCTTCTCCAACTTAGCCTGGGAAGCTAGGTCCAACCAGGCTCGAATATGGGCATTACATTTGTCCGAAAGCTCTCAAAGAGCCACCAACTGACTGAGGCCCAAAATCTCGTTCACATGAGCCAGAAATATTATACGACGTATATTAAATCGTTTCTCCAACAAATTCAGCGCGACATCATAATTCTTGTCGGATACTTCCAAGTACAAACTGCTCCCGAAGGCAAGATCGCAACTTTTGCAGCTTTTCAACCTTACTTATAAGAGGATTGCCGCCAACGATTGTAAAGAAAATCGAGTAGAACTCAGACCATTCCGAGTATCCACCGCTTGAAAACTTTGACTTAACCCCTGGTCACCTTCATGGTGGACATTTCTTTGTCTAGGGTGAAGTGGGAAGTAATTCGAGCATTGCAAAGTGTCGTCTCGTGATCAATTTTGGCATGCATCGTCGGTACGGGCTCCGAAACAGTTTGCGAAATATCCAAATCTTCAAGCATCCCGTGGATGGGCTTAAAATACATGAATATGGCGACTATCTGGCCCTGTTGCACGTAGAGCACGGCATCACTTGGACACAGGCATAAGGTCTCCTTGGATCCTCTGTAACTCCTGGAGAATATCATGGGGTTTCACTTTAAAATAGCAATCCGGCCTGGAGTAAGTGCTCCGGTGACTGCGACGCTGAAGTTCATGATTGATTATATTAAGTTACGACCAATGTAATCAGCCCGAAGTAAATAATAACAGTGCCAAAACTGTATCGCTCAAAGTTTATGTGCTCGCGGCGAGCACGATCTGTTCCACTGTTCGCCCAGAACTGTAAACGGAATTATGGAATGTACTTGCGTGGTGAAACGTATGTATGTATGAAGTCTATGCGCGGGTGAATGCACTTACATTGTGGAACGTTAGTATGTATGTGTGTCTGTAATTAATAATTCACCAGACAACAAATGAGTTACTTAAAACGTAGTTATAATTTTTTTTCTTATTATAAATAACTGATTGATTTTTAGCAACTGATGTGCTGATATGCTGCGTATGAAATTTTTTTTACTTAATACTGTTCATGAAATGTTTAATCTACACCACATATGCTTTCGCGGGTCTAGTTTGGGTTTGGTAAATTCTTAATTATCACGTCGGGGTCACCAATGTTTGGTCATTGAGAGTTCTCAATGATGATAAATAAAAAGTTCGAATGTAGTTAACAAAGAAACGTTATAAAAAACTTTTTTTGGCCGCATGTGAAATGAGAAAATAAACAGAGAACGTTAATATAGAGTGCGAGCGCAAAGAGATCAGGAACGAGAGTGCGCCCGCCTTAGATAATAGGCTAAGCGGATTGTCCCTAGTTTAAGAGGGTAAATCAGGTAAAGCCGAGCGGCCGCGAAAGAGTCGGCTTGCGACCAACGTCGCAAGTTATTAATAATTATTAATTTTTAAAACCTAGAAGTTGTCTACTGCCTGACCCGACAACAGTTATTGAAAATAACAAAAACAAAATGCAAAATGCCTGGGCATCAATTAGTTTAGTTCAATATCCGAGCGAGATTAGTTCAATAATTTAGGTGCGAAGACAGTTTTCATCTTTTCGTCCACTGCGAGGATGCCCAGATCCCGGTAGATGTTTTCGTGGCGAACATACCAAGGTACCCCAGTGATAGTTCTTAAGATTTTTGATTGCGCTGTCCATGTCTATGCGCTGTATAATATCTATGTTGCTGCTGCCACACGGGAGCCATACGTCCAGATTGGCTTTAGGACTGAAGAGAATTTATTGAAGAGAGTGGTGATCGTGAGTTTATGATCCAGTTAAGGCTGCTGGCTTTCAGTTTTAGGCGCATTTTCTTGCATTCGATGTGCTTACGCCAAGTTAGTCGTCTATCAAGGTGGACGCCAAGGTACGTTACTTCGTTAGCTTGAGGGATCTGCATACCGTTTAG